AGATATTCCTGGGTGTCCTTGTGTAGGTATTCCTGTGTGTCCTTGTGTAGGTATTCCTGGGTGTCTTTGTGTACATACTCCTGGGTGTCCTTGTGTACATATTCCTGGGTGGCCCTGTGTAGGTATTCCTGGGTGTCCTTGTGTAGGTATTCCTGGGTGTTCTAGTGTACATATTCCTGGATGTCCTTGTGTAGATATTCAAGGGTGTCCTTGTGTAGATATTCATGGGTGTCCTTGTAAAGGTATTCCTGGGTGTCCTTGTGTAGGTATTCCTGTGTGTCCTTGAGTACATATTCCTGGGTGTCCTTGTGTAGGTATTCCTGGGTGTTCTTGTGTATGTATTCCTTAGGTTTTAGAGTTCAGCTACAGCACCACTTTCGATGTGAAAGCGTATATCTTGGGCTTCATAGCCACCTGCGACATAAAACCAAAGTTAAAACATACATCAGACTGTGTACAAGAACAATGCGATAGTACACAAACGAACACTTTAAAAGCAAAGCTAAAACATACATCAGACTACGTACAACCACACATGATAGTACATAAACGACCACTTTAATAGCAAAGTTAAACCGTACATCAGACTATGTACAACAAACACACGATAGTACATAAACGACCACTTTGATAGCAAAGTTAAACCGTACATCAGACTATGTACAACAAACACACGATAGTACACAAACGACCTCTTTAAAAGCAAAGTTAAACCATACATCAGCCTATGTACAACAAACACACTATAGTACACAAACAACCACTTTAGTTGCAAAGCTGAACCACACATCAGACAATATACAACAAACACACGATAGTACATAAACGACCACTTCGTGGCACGTGGATGGTGTGGTGTATAGCTGACACGCTTGCATAGCTATAGGGCACAGTCAGTACAGTGTTCAGTGTGTGAGGTACACATTAGTATCTTCCCCTTTTAAGGTCGTGTCTGTGATACCCAGTGCTGTGGCATGTTGTATGAGAGAACATAACCACATACAAGCATTGGCCCTCACTTCCCGTGATAGGGGTACGAATTTGCTGAGCTTGTTGAGCGTGTTGCGCGTGTTGGTTGTATCACACATACGCACCTGGGTTGTCCTGGATTGCGTATTGTACCGGTCCTGTACTGGACGGGTCACCTGGGCTGTGAGACGTTGGTCAGTGTTTGCCGAGTCCCAAAAAGAGGACTGCAGAGCCTGTGAGTGCGATGGAAAGGACTTTGAACGACGAGTTATGTCATACACCATTACACACAAACAAGCGATAGATAACGCGTTCGTTTGGAGGTGTAGGCATGTGGTGATGTCTATGGCGTGGTAAATTGGGAAATATAAACGCATTCGTGGGGAATATAAACGCCTTCGTTTGGAAGAATATAAATGATGCGATGTTTCTGTAGTGCTTTGCTGGGGAACGTTTTCGTCCCAAATGGAATATTATGATAGTGAGATGTTTATAATATAAATACTATAGATTATGATATGTTATGCTTATTGGATTCCTTGTTCTTATTCGTATTCTTGGGATTCACAAAAGCATATTTTAGGGCTCACTTATATCTAATACACGCAGATACACCACGGACCTGAGCTACACCCACCCAAACGCACACTTTATAACTCACTTCTACATAGCACATACACATACACCCCCTACCTGAGCTACACCCACCCAAACGCACACTTTATAACAGCACACACACATACACCACATACCTGAGCTACACCCGCCCAAACACACACCTTATAACTCATTTCTAAATAGCACATATACATACACCCCCTACCTGAGCTACACCCACCCAAACACACACTTTATAACTCACTTCTACATAGCACACCACATATACCCCCTACCTGAGTTACACCCACCCAAACACACACTTTATAACTCACTTCTACATAGCACTTACGCGTACTCCCCCTACCTGAGCTACACCCACTCAAACACACACCATATAACTCACTTCTACATAGCACACCACATATACCCCCTACCTGAGTTACACCCACCCAAACACACACTTTATAACTCACTTCTATATAGCACATACACATACTCCCCCTACCTGAGCTAC